CGATTAGGAAGTTACCGCCAGGATGCTGTGCCGTGACTTCTGAGCGCTCGTTACTAGCTGGTAACCATGTCTGACACCGATTAGGAAGTTTACCGCCAGGATGCTGGTGCCGTGACTTCTGAGGCGCTCGTTAGCGCTGGTAACCATGTCTGACACCCGATTAGGAAGTTACCGCCAGGATGCTGTGCCGTGACTTCTGAGGCGCTCGTTAGCGCTGGTAACCATGTCTGACACCCGATTAGGAAGTTACCGCCAGGATGCTGTGCCGTGACTTCTGAGGCGCTCGTTAGCGCTGGTAACCATGTCTGACACCGATTAGGAAGTTACCGCCAGGATGCTGTGCCGTGACTTCTGAGGCGCTCGTTAGCGCTGGTAACCATGTCTGACACCCGATTAGGAAGTTACCCCAGGATGCTGTGCCGTGACTTCTGAGGCGCTCGTTAGCGCTGGTAACCATGTCTGACACCCGATTAGGAAGTTACCGCCAGGATGCTGTGCCGTGACTTCTGAGGCGCTCGTTAGCGCTGGTAACCATGTCTGACACCCGATTAGGAAGTTACCGCCAGGATGCTGTGCCGTGACTTCTGAGGCGCTCGTTAGCGCTGGTAACCATGTCTGACACCCGATTAGGAAGTTACCGCCAGGATGCTGTGCCGTGACTTCTGAGGCGCTCGTTAGCGCTGGTAACCATGTCTGACACCCGATTAGGAAGTTACCGCCAGGATGCTGTGCCGTGACTTCTGAGGCGCTCGTTAGCGCTGGTAACCATGTCTGACACCCGATTAGGAAGTTACCGCCAGGATGCTGTGCCGTGACTTCTGAGGCGCTCGTTAGCGCTGGTAACCATGTCTGACACCCGATTAGGAAGTTACCGCCAGGATGCTGTGCCGTGACTTCTGAGGCGCTCGTTAGCGCTGGTAACCATGTCTGACACCCGATTAGGAAGTTACCGCCAGGATGCTGTGCCGTGACTTCTGAGCGCTCGTTAGCGCTGGTAACCATGTCTGACACCCGATTAGGAAGTTACCGCCAGGATGCTGTGCCGTGACTTCTGAGGCGCTCGTTAGCGCTGGTAACCATGTCTGACACCCGATTAGGAAGTTACCGCCAGGATGCTGTGCCGTGACTTCTGAGGCGCTCGTTAGCGCTGGTAACCATGTCTGACACCCGATTAGGAAGTTACCGCCAGGATGCTGTGCCGTGACTTCTGAGGCGCTCGTTAGCGCTGGTAACCATGTCTGACACCCGATTAGGAAGTTACCGCCAGGATGCTGTGCCGTGACTTCTGAGGCGCTCGTTAGCGCTGGTAACCATGTCTGACACCCGATTAGGAAGTTACCGCCAGGATGCTGTGCCGTGACTTCTGAGGCGCTCGTTAGCGCTGGTAACCATGTCTGACACCCGATTAGGAAGTTACCGTTCTTTTAGGAAGTTACCACCTGGATGCGGATGGGTGGAAGGTAGGTTAGTTTTGAGACGTCCAGAACTAACCTACTTACCACCGCTCCATGTCCGACACCCGATTAGGAAGTTATTCTTTTCGGATTACCGTTCTTTTCGGAAGTTACCGTTCTTTTCGGAAGTTACCGTTCTTTTCGGAAGTTACCTCCAGGATGCGAGTGGTGGCATTGCCTGGTAACGTGCCGCTTCTAGGATTATTTTTCGAAGAATGCTTCGAGTAGACGACGGTTTCTGGACGAACTTGATCTGACGCTCGAGTCAGTTGGATGGGGATAGGGTTTTCGGGTTGTAGCCTCGCTGGAAGGTGATGCATACCTCAACTGTGTGAGAAAGTCGCCAACTGTCTGCTAACACCTCCTTCCCTTCCCTTCCCTTCCCGCCCCTTCCCCTCCCTGTCCGCCCCTGCCTCTTTTCGTACCGCAGCTGTACCAGAAGGTAGCCAACAGCCGCATGACTTAGACGACTTTGAGCCGACTCAAAGGAAAAGTGGCCAGCTGTCAGCTAACACCTCCGTCCCTTCCCTTCCCTGTCCTCCCCTGCCTCTTTCCGTACCACAAAGAGCAACATTCACAGCCATTCCCTTTCTCCCTACCGCCCTTCCCGCTCACCACACCGCAGCTGTACCAGAAGGAGGCCAATAGCTGCATGACTCAGTGCCGACTCAAATCAGAGGAGCTTGCCGAGAGGATTCTATTTCTGAGGCGCCTCAAAAAGGGAGCTTGCGAGACGTCATCCCTTGCCTCCGCTCAAACGTGATCCCTTGCCTCGGCTCAAACGTCATCCCTTGGCTCGGCTCAAACGTGATCCCTTGGCTCGGCTCAAACGTGATCCCTTGGCTTCCATGGGTTCGTTTCTTCCCCATCCTCCCGCTCCTTGTTTACAGCTGTACCAGAAGGTGGCCAACAGCCGCAGGACTCAGTTCCAACTCAGATCCGAGGAGCTTGTTGACTCGACTTTAATAACACCGCTCCCATGGCCCTTTTCTTCCCCCTTCTCCCGCTCGTTGCTAACAGCTGTACCAGAAGGTGGCCAACAGCCGCATGACTCAGTTCCTGCTGAAGTCCGAGGAGCTGGCGAGGCGGCAGCAGGAGGAGGAGATCCGCAGGCACTCCGCGCCGCTGCACGCAGAGGACAAGGGACTCTGGAAGAAGATGCCGCTCATTCCTGGTATGTGGTAGTGGGTAGGCATGTGAGTCTACGCATATGAGGCCTGGTGCGGGAGAAGGGTTACGCAGGTGACTCCTGCTAGGTTGGAGGGTAACGGTTGGTGGGTGCAGAATATACAGGTACTCCGCGCCACTGCATGCGGAGGACAAGGGGCTCTGGAATAAGATACCGCTCATTCCGGGTAGGTGGTGGGCATGGCATGATGGCACGGGCAGGCTAGTGCCGCTGGGTCTGGCGGGCAGCAGGGAACAAGCGTCCAGCGTGGCTCCTTTCCCTTTCCCTCACACCCCTCTCTCCCCTCTCCCCCGCCCCCCCTTTTCGCCACCCCCCAAGCTCTCTTTGGAACTGGCAGATTTCTGGACACAATTCCAGTGAGCGCAGTTAGAAAGATGGAATTATGTCCGGAGGTCCGGAGATCCGCCCCCCCTTTTCGCCATCCCTCAAGCTCCCTTGGGAACCGGCAAGCTTGCCAGCCAGCCTGGTCGTGGCGGGCAACCAGGAGAATGCGTCCAACGTTTTTCATTCCCTCTCCCTCCCTCCTCCCTCTCCCCCTCCTCCTCCCCCCCCAACACCCCCTCAGCTCCCTTTGGCACCGGCAAGCTGGTGTGGCTGGGGCTGGCGGGCAACAAGGAGAAGGCGTCCAACGTGTTTCTTGACTTCTTCAAGACCTTCCACTTCGGCCTCTGGGGCCTTCCCAGTCAACCGAAAGCACTCTTGAGCTGCTCGAGAAACACTTTTGCCTCTCCTCTTCCCCCGTCCCTCCCACACACATCCTGCCCCCCCCCCCCCATCAGCTCCCTTTGGCACCGGCAAGCTGGTGCGGCTGGGTCTTGCAGGCAACAAGGAGAAGGCGTCCAACGTGTTTCTCGATTTCTTCAAGACCTTCCACTTCGGCCTGTGGGGCTACCAGCAGCGCCCCTACCCCGCGGAGAAGCCCTTCGACATCCAGCAAGTCGTGGGCAGCAAGTTCCTCGAGAAGAGATACCTCGACTGTGAGTGGTTATGATTGGTTGCGAGTGGTTGTGAGTGGTAGGTAGAGTGGTAGAGAGATAAACTTGATTGTGGGGCTACCTGGGGCTACCAGCAGCCCCCTACCCCGCTGAGAAGCCCTTTGACATCCAGCAAGTCGTGGGCAGCAAGTTCCTCGAGAAGAGATACCTCGACTGTGAGTGGTTGCAAGTAGACATGGGCACAAGCCGAGCCACACCTGGCTCGGCTCGGCTCGGCTCGCCTTTAAGGCGAGCCGAGCCTTCTTTTTTGGTACCCGGCTCGACTCGAGCCGGCGGCTCGGCTTGGCTCGCGAACGTGAAATCAGGCGAGCCGGAGTCGAGCCGGCTCGAGCTGGCTCGATTTCGAGCCAGCCGGCTCGCGGCTAGGGAAAGGGGGGTTTGGCGACTGTCAAATTTTAGATCGACAACCCCCCCCCCCTGCCAATATTGTCTGCCAACCCTAACCTCACCCTGTCGCGCTAGTCTATCGACCTCAGCCAGCCATATTTGAACCGGCAGCTCCTCCTGATAGTTTTGTAAGATGTAGGAGCAGACGATCAGCTAAATAATATGGATTATCCCCTATACTAGAGACCCCAAACCCCGTGGCCCCAATTGAGAGCCCGCACAAGCCCCTCTGACGAGCCGAGCCGAGCCAGGGATCCTGAGGACCCGGCTCGAGGCCAGCCGAGCCGGCTTGACCCCAAACGAGCCGAGCCGAGCCAGGCTCGGCTCATGCCCATGTCTAGTTGCAAGTGGTCGTTGATTGGTGCTTGGGTGGTACTCTGCAAGTGAGTGCGTTGATGTGATGAATCTCACATCAAGGCTCATCATGCAAGTAAGTGAGTGATGAGAGAGCCCCTCATTTCAACTCCAACTTACCCCCCTCCGTCCAACTCCATCTTTACCTGGGGTGACTGTATCCCCACCTCTCTGTCTCTCTGCCGTTACAGTCACCCAGCGTGGCAGCACATGGTGTGACAATGACACGTGGGACGCTCACGGGGCCCCTGCGAGGTGACTTGATTTCAGGCCGTTAAATCTAAGTTGACAAGCGTCTTGATATGGTGCTTCCAAATCCAAGTCAACCCTACCTGCCCTCCCCCCCTTAACTCTACAGTCACCCTGCGTGGCAGCACGTGGTACTACAAGGACAGGCTGGGGCGCACTCGAGGTCCCTGCGAGGTGATCAACCTCCGCACGGCGTGGGCAGCGGGGATCATCGACGGCAACACCTTTGTGTGGGGCGGCAGACACTCTCCATTCCTATTCCGGCTTATCCCCACCCCCGTCCCCACTTCCTTCCCCCCCTGACTCGCCGCCCCTGCCTCTCTCCGTTCTCCCCACCCCTGCACAGTCACCCTGCATGGCAGCACGTGGTACTACAAGGACAGGCTGCAGTCACGATTCCAACTCTAGCTTATCCCCCCCTCCCCCCTCTCCTCTACACAGTCACCCTGCGTGGCAGCACGTGGTACTACAAGGACAGGCTGGGGCGCACCCGAGGTCCCTGTGAGGTGATCAACCTGCGCACAGCGTGGGCGGCGGGGATCATCGACGGCAACACCTTTGTGTGGGGCGACGACATGGACGAGTTTGCACCGATTGACGCAGTGTACGGGCTCAAGCAAGCGATCGATACTCCTGATGGTGAGTGGATGTGTGGCTGATTGTATCTCTGACTTCTGGTACTTGCGTGTTGTGTGTAAGAAGGCTGTACACCATGGTGCAACACCTTTGTGTGGGGCGACGACATGGTCACGTTTGCACCGATTGACGCGGTGTACGGGCTCAAGCAGGCGATAGATACTCCTGATAGTGAGTCGTGGATGGCTCGTGGTGGCTAGGTGGTTGGGGGGGCACGATTGGTGATTGTGGACTCTCGGCACGGCGTGGGCGGCCGGGATCATCGACGGCACGGCAACACCTTTGTGTGGGGCGACGATATGGACGAGTGCTGCCCAACTCTGAACCCTGGAACCCCTCTCTGTTTTCCTTGCCTGCCCTCTGCTTTTTCCCAATTCTCCAGTCCGCCTGGCCACAGCAGGAACAGCCATGCTGCACCGCATCGGCCGGGGAATGAATCCTCTCAAAGTCAAGAAGGGCTTGACTCCAAGAGGCCAGGTTCCAAGAGGTCGCTGGAGGAGCGGCAGGAGGAGGCAGTGGCGGACAAGGAGGTTGAGCGCACCGTGCTGGCAACTCTGAACCCCAAACCCCTGAACCCCTTCCTCTTTTCCTTTGTTTCTTTTCCCCTCCACTTCTGCCCAAATCTCCAGTCCGCCTGGCCCACAGCAGGAACAGCCATGCTGCACCGCATCGGGCGGGGCATGAACCCTCTCAAAGTCAAAAAGGGCTTTGAGGGGGCAAAGAGATCCCTCGAGGAGCGGCAGGAGGAGGCAGTGGCGGAGAAGGAGGTTGAGCGCACCGTGCTGCGCAACCACGGGGGCGCGTGGCCGGGCAACCAGGCACCCGCGCACGCGCTCTTCCTGTGGGCCAGTGGTGGAGAGCTCACTAAAGTGCTCGACCAGAAGCCCAAGAGGTTTCCCAGCAAGTTCATCTCCTACGAGCAGAGGTGAGTCGAGGCCATCTCTGTTTGCTTGAGGGAGTCCCCCTGCTCTCCCACCCCCTCCTCCCCTTTTCCCCCTTGCCTACTTCCTTCTTTTCTGTGTGTCATATCGCGTTCCCCATTCCTCATTGTTTACCCCAACAGGAAGAAGCTGGCGCAGCGCATCCCTGGCCTGCGCCCGTGGGAGGTGCTGGAGGTGGAGCAGCTCTTCAACTTCCTCACCTTCCGCGACGACTTCTGGCGCAGCAAGCTTGGCACCTTTGCCACTCCCCCCGAGAATTCCGAGGCTTATGATGAGGAGATGATGGAGGAATGGGGAGAGATTAAGGATGCCCTATCAGGGGCTTTTCCTGAGCTGACCAGGTGATGATGCATGCATGCTATCTGATGGACAACCTCTGTATTTGGGCCTTGGAAGGTACTAAAACTAGTCATACAGGGGTTGATCAGTGCCCATACGTGTTTTTCCTTGATATAATGGTATTACTGTGGAATCATGGTTGGTTTTTCTTTATTCAACAAGGCTGTTTTTGGGAAGGTGGACTAGCAAGGTGCATAACACATGATTGGCGCCATTTGTATTCTTGCTGTGGAAGTAATTCTCTAATGGACATTGTTTTGAGGCGAAGTGTTTTCGAAATTGCTCAGGTGTTTTCTGAGGTCTCAGCGAAACTCAGGTGTCGGTGGTGAATCGCATTCGGATCGCCCACGATGGCATTGTGACCGCATGAGCGAGAGCTCCATGCTTTCTAGTGGTCGCCAACGTGAGCTAGAAACAAGTCGAATCGGATGCGTCCGCGTAGGACCAATCATCGCCAAGCGTTTCGTCGAGAATACGCCCCCATTGGATGCGCGACTGAGCGACCTCTGACCAGGACGTGATCCCGACTCGCGACCATGCACATTCAATTCCGTGCATTTGCGGCTCGGTTCCCGTGCAAGCAACTCGAATTGTTGAATGTCATTGGTAAAGTCCGAGATGGGAATGGCTGGGTAGCATTGAACGTGATTGCCCCTTCCGTACCTCTCGGCTGCGTTGTTGGTGCTGGCCTCAGCTGCCGCCCCAAGCTTGTTCCCGTATCTCCCAAGCATGTGCTGGCACCCCGCAGTGCTTATCCCTTCTTCTGGCGTTGTACTTTTATATGGTTATAACGCAGTGCTAAACTTATCAAGCGCCGTTAGGGTCCTGCGCCTGTTTGCTCACAAGTCCTCCCTCCTCCACCATAGTCGTTAGGGCCTCCGTTCCTTCCCCCCCAAAATGGGAGCCTCGATCCGTCCCGCGCATTCTCTCCTGCTGGGCATCCTGTTTTGTTTCGCGGTTTCCGTAGCATTCGCCGACGATACGCAAGTAGAAACCGCATTCATTCTTTGCGACGAATTCGGCGATCATGTGGCAGCAGCAGCTGCGGCTCACAACATCTCCGTCTGCGCCTTCGTGCTCCAAGGCGAGCCCGTGGACTTTGACCTCACCCCCGCTGCGACGACCAGTGCCCCTGCGATCGCCGGCGATGAGTCGTCGCTTCGGCGACACTTGCTGGGCGGCGGTGCGACGCCTGTTGCGATCCAGCTGGCGCAGGGTCTTGTCGGCAAGACCGGGGAAGTCCGAACGCAGGTGACCGCGGGAACGTGGGAGACAGTTGGCACGATCCTCGTCAGCGTCCTCACTGAGGTGCGTTTAATTAGACCGTATTTGAATCCTATAACGCGTATGCATGATCTTTCGAACGTGGCTCAAGGTATTATGGATCATCAGAAATACAGAACTCGGGAAACCTGGATACCATAACGTGACATTGCATGAGGTGTAATACTCGTTTTGTCCCATGAAACATGCGGCTTATCTCGTTTCCATTTCCTCCCCAAACTCGTTCATGTTTTCCAGTCTCAACTCATCAGCAGGAGCCTGGTGTGGGCGATTAAAGACATGTACGACACGTGGCGCACGCGCCCGCAATCCGTGCAAAACCTCCAGGACGCGATTCGCAACGTGAATCGCGCGCACTCCAACCAGCAGACCCTGCTCTCAGTGCTGAATAAGAACCCGCAGACGAAGAAATCGAAGCAGCTGTCGTCCATTCGCGATACAGTCGCATCCATGACCCCCACGTTCACGCAGCTGCTCTCTCTGCTCGCCACGTGGCGCCAGCAGAATCTTCACGCTGTCACGCGTCTGCACTTCACTGCCGAATCTGCCGGCCTCGCCGTCGCGCAGGCCGAGCCGGCCGGGCCGGCAGGGGGGCCCAGCGAGCCGAGGCTCGCAGCGACTCTTAACCATAAGAGCAAGAAGGACAAGAACAACAATGACAACAACGACAGCAACAACAACAATAATAACAACGACAAGAAGTCTAAGAAGGGCTCCTCCGGTGGCTCTAGTTCGAATTCTGGCGGCAAGGGCAAGAAGAAGGGCCAGAAGGCCAAGGTTGGCGCGACGCAGGCGATCAACGTGGTTGTAGCCGCAGACGGCAGCGGCGATTATAAATCGATTCAGGATGCGGTGGACGCGGCTGGCCCCGGCTCGACAATTCGCATCAGGGCGGGAGTTTACAACGAGCAGGTGCAAGTGAGCACGGATAGAATCACGATGATTGGCGCGGGCATGGATCAGACGGTGATTACGAACGACGCCAGCCAGAAGACCGGCTACGATATTATCACCTCCGCTACAGTTGGTAAGGATGCGTTCGCGCGAATTTTCCTGGCTCCGGCTGCCTTCACGCGCAAATTTTTAGCCCACTTTTCTACCGCAATCAATAAGCAAGGGTACGCTTATATTTTACCCGTCAGCTATTCGTTGCTGAGCTTCCCTTTTCGCTCATGTGCCACGTGGCAGGCGTCAACGCGGACAATTTCGTGGCGATGAGCATGACAATTCGCAACACAGCTGGCATCGACGGTCAGCAGGCCGTCGCGCTTCGCGTCGACAGCGACCAAGCCGCATTTTACCAGCTCCGGATATCCGCGTTTCAAGACACTCTGTTTGCCAGCACGGGCCGTCAATACTACACCCGCTGTTTCATCGACGGCGCCGTAGATTTCGTGTTCGGCGACGCGGCGGTTGTGATTCGTAACTCGCAGCTGAAGGTCCAGATGTCGCCGTACGACACGACGATCACGGCGTCGGGTCGCCTGAGCAAGTCGTCCAACACCGGGATTGTGGTTATGGACAGTCGCGTGGTGTCGTTCGCGCCGCGCGTGTTCCTCGGTCGGCCGTGGAAGGACTATGCGACGTCGGTGTTTATCAACGTTTGGCTAACGAATGTAAGTGTGTCGGCCCTAGTGTTTTCACGGTGCCAATCGAGCTTGAAGTCTCTCTCGTGTTCTCTTTCACACCAGAGTTCCTTCCTCGCTTCCTCGTGCATCCATGCCTCCCTCCCAACCCGTTTGCTTCTCTTATGTTGTGGAGCTCGTCTTCTGTTCTGCTCTCTTCCCTTGCCCTCCCTCTTCCTCTCTCCTACCACCCACCCCACCCTCCCTCCCTCTCCCATTCCCCCTTACTCCCCTCTCCTCCCCACTCCCCCCTCCTCTCTTCCCCCCACCTCCCCCTTTGCCGTGCGCAGAAAGTCGTTGCTGACGGCTGGATGACGTGGGCGGGCCAGACGTACGGCGGAAAGCCGTTTCTCGCGGAAGTCAACAGCAAGGGGCCGGGCGCCCAGCCTTCGCGCGTCAAATGGGCCAAGCCCGGAATTGCGTCATCCAGTGACGTCAGCCAATACAACCCTAATGCTTTCATCCAACTCAACTCGTGGATCGGCTCCACCAAAATTCCCGTCTCCTAGTGTTTGATGCATCCTCGTTTCAGAGCTGCCTCGCTAGGCGATAAGTACGGACTACGAGTTATATTACCCTCCGCGCGACTATGGCGGAGGCGTGAGTTGGTGGAAGGTGGGGGGGTGGTGGGTCGGGGGAAATGCGGACACGCCAAAGGGCTGACTACAGCGGAGTCGTTTGCGGGCACATTTGGGGAATCCGTTTTGGGCACATTCACTTGGCGCGACGCTTTCTTGTAGCTTTATTAGGAGATGGTACCCTTTACAAAGGAAATAAATTTTTTTTCTGGTGCTACTCTCTTGGGATAGATACTACCCTGCTCTTGGACTGGCCGTACCGAGGTTCCTACTTGGCTGGAGTTTATTAATTTTCATATTCTACTCATCAATTTACAGGTGCATGTTGTTTACAGCACTCGTCTTATATAGCCTAGACTACAAAAACCAGCTCAATATTTAAGGGTACTAGACAAGAAGATCTACAATCTATGTTTTGATTGGTTCAAGCCGCACTGAGCTAACTGCTGGGCTGCCTTGACACCTCGAATCCTCTCCAGAACTGCCAGCCTGGCAGGCTTGAAACAGCCTCATCAGATCCGCCACCCTGTCAGCCCGGAGCTGAGTCAGCAGCGAGGGGGGAGGGCAGGAGGGGTAGCGCTGGCGGGTCGTGGTGATTGGGTGGCTGGTTTTCGCGGACGGGCAGACAGGGCACGAGATAGTGTAGGACGGAGGGGGGTGGGGTTGGTGGGGTCTTGAGAGTCGGTGGAGGAGGTGGAGATATGGGGGGGGGAGGAGAGGGGGTGGAGAGGTTGGGATGAACTGCAGTGTTGGTGGGTGCTTGGAGGGTGGGCATGGCGGTGGTGTGGTTGGGATCATCTGTGTCCTCCGCACAGCAAGACTGGTCCCGTTGATCTGGCTGACAGGACTGACTGGGTTGACTGGGTTGACTGGGTTGACTGCCTTGATGTGGTGTAGTTGATTGTTTCGGTTGACTTGATGGAGGTGGCTGACAACATTGGTTTGCCTGCCACGGTTGCGAGTGCAGAATACTCGGACTGCTCATGCCCCCGATAGGTGAATTCTTCACAGCCACATTCGCTGCACTCACGCTCCCAGCAGCAACACTTCCTCCAGTGCTGCTGCAATCCACTCCAGTCCACGGCAGAAACGAGCCCATCTGCTTCTCAGTACTGATCAGGGGAAGCTCGCTGCTGGGAGCTGCCGGATGGTATGCGCTGCATGCTGCTGCTGCTGGTGCCGGTTCCATAGCAGCTGTACCACCGCTGCTGCTGCTGCTGCTGCTGGTGTTGATACCAGCACTGCCCGTGATACCGTTCGTCCCAAAGCGTCGTGATTCTGCCCTTAGTTCAGTCTTATGCTCTTCTCGCTCCCCTCTCCCTACTCTTCCCACTCTCTCCACCGTCTCAAACCACGGATGCGAAAGTATCTCGCAAGATCTTATCCTCCTCCCCGGCTCCTTCTCCAGCATCCGCCGAACCAGATCCTTAGCCTCGGTAGAAACTCCGCCCCACAGCTCCGGCGAGCTCAGGTCCGGCGCCGCCTGGCACGCCGCAGCAAACACGGCGTTGTGGTTCGGGCCGTGGAATGGAAGCTTCCCGGAAAGGCACGTGTAGAGGATGATCCCAAGGCTCCACACGTCCACCTGGTGGTTGTACAGATGACCTTTCACGACCTCAGGAGCCAGGTAGAAAGGGCTGCCAACTAGCCCTGTCAGGTGCTCGCCAGGGGCCAGTCGCCTCGCTAGCCCGAAATCGGCGATCCGAAGGTGGAGTTCTGAAAAGGTGCTGAAGGTGGAATGCCCATGAGCATCCCCTGGGAAAGGCCGGGCGAGGAGAATGTTTTCAGGCTTTAAGTCCCGGTGCACCACCCCCACGGCGTGCATCCACGCCAGCGTGGCAGCCAGTTGGCCCACAACAGCGGCTGCCAGCTGTTCCGGCATGCCTGCTGAGTCAGCATGCCGGTCAACGAGGTCAAACAGGTCTCCTCCGCTGCAGTGGTCCATGACCAGGTGCACGCCCCAGCTGTCCTCGTACACTGAATGTAGACGCACCAGCCTCTCCCAGGGGGCATGCTGCTTGCTGTGAGGCTCTGGGTTCTGCCCATCCTGCCCCTCCTCCTGGGCTGAAGTGACACTGCCCTCGCCATCTTCTTTTTCACTTGCCGCCTCTTCGTCTTCTGCAGCTCCAGCCACTTCTCCCGCCACCTCCTCTTCTTCCGCCGCTTCCTCCTCTTCCGCCGACTGCTGCAGCAGCAGCGGCGTCAGCGCCTCGGCTCGGAGCTCCTCAAGTTCCCTCGGGCCCTGACGGGACACGACGAGGCAAGGAGGGGAGCAAGGAATGGATTGACAGCGTGAGAAGTGGAATAATCTTTGACGAACCATACATGGAGTTTTGTTTTGTTTTTGTTTGTTTGTTTGTCATTTAAAAAAAAAAGAAAAAAAAGGAGGAGACAAGAATGGCGCCACACCTGGAGCAACACTTTGCTGATCGTCTTGCAGGCAAACGTCTCGCCGCTCCTCCTCTCCCAGCACTCCCGCACCACGCCGAAATGCCCGCGCCCAAGCTCCCTCCCAACCTCGAACCGACCCTCCAGCCTCGGCCCGAAGCTGCTGCTGACGAGCCACGGTTCCCGCCAGCCTGGCGGGCAGTACCGGTCGATCTGTTGGTTCGGCGCGCCGCGGCTGCAACCCGAACCTTGGTAAAACCGCGGCGATTGAGCGGCGAGGCGGCATCGCTCTTCCAATTGGTCGAGAAGCATGCTGACGTGGCAGCGGGTGGTCGCGGCGCTCGGGAAGTCGATTCGGGACCGCCGGTTCGCCAGGGCCGGCCTAACGGGACCACGACGATGGTGTCGATTCGGATTCGCATTCGGTTTGGGATTGGGATTGGGATAATTGCTAGTACTAGCAGAAGCAGAGTCGGACTCTGCCACGCTACTGCTACAGTCGGGCCCCTCGGCCATCATGGTGCTTCCCCGCGCCGCAGCCGTTGAATCGTTCTCGAAATAACTCCCGCTGTCGAGGTGACGATGATGATGACTCGCGAGGATTTGGGAGGCCATAACGTCGCGTCGCAAAATAGAGAGGTTATTAATCACGTTTTCCGTAGCCTGCTTAGCCACGAGGAGCCTAGTGAAGACTCAAAAGCTAGCTAGTAGTGACTGCAACAGGGTTTCCAAAGTACTGCCGCATAGCGAAGGCGGATGGACGACTGCTTTTCAGGCGGCTCGAAAGTAGGCTCGATATGATCCGGACGGCGACTGCTGCAGTGTGGTCCACGGAATCAGGCTAGTAGCGCCTCTCATGTAGAACACGCCTACGATGTACTACTTCGCATGCGGAAGGGATTTTTGAGGCGCCTCAAAAGTCGTCTACTTCGCATGCGGAAGGGATTTTTGAGGCACCTCAAAAGTCGTCTACGTCGCATGCGGAAGGGGTTCATGCATTGGTAAAAAATGTGCTATTGGGAAAGAAAGCGGGGCTAGACGTGACAAGACGAGCGAGTGAGAGAAACGAGAGGACGGGACTGGAGAGGGCTCCGGCATTCGTGGGAGAGGAAGAGAGTCCGAAACACCTCTACGTTACGTACTGCTGGCCGACGACTGTCCGGCGAGAGAGCGCGAAAACGACCGTCGGCGGGCCGTTTGCGGATGACCGTGCATTGGAAGGAAACCGAATGCAGTCAGACTCTTGGAAGACACTGGGATGGCTGGGAGGGATGAAGTCTGGGAGGGGAAAGGCGAGGCTGTGTCGCGAATTTGTTTTACCAGGCGTGCACTTCGTTCTTCGTTGAGGCGCACTCACGGACTGTGGAAGAGGCACCGTCAATGCATTTGTAACAAGGGAGTTGCTGCAGCAGCGCACGAAAAAGCCAGACCATGGAGGTTTCAGGAATGGAATGGGAAGGGTGGGGAGAAGGGAGTCGCACTTTGGCGGACTCGCTGCTTTTCCGCTGGTCTGAGATTTCCGTGAGGCGCGGGATGGGAGCGGAGAGTGGGGAGGGATGCGGGGGGCGGGGCGGGGGGAGGCTGAGCTTTCGTTGCTTGCCCCCCTATTCGTACTGTGCAGTACAGTAGGGGCGTGGACGTAAACAACCGGCGGAGAATCCCGCAGATGCGCTGCGGGTTCGCTTGCGCCTGTGACTGGCCCTGGGCTGGCTGGTTGGGCCTGGAAGGGGTTTGTTGGGTGGGGTGGGGGGGGGGGGGGGGGGAGAGGGTATGTGGGCATGCGAGGAATTTCCGCATGCTGCTTGGCGCATGGAAGAATTTCGGGGAAGGGGGGCAGGAATTGCGACAAAGGATGGCGAAAATTCTGGCCTTTCGCATCTGCTCTGCGCGCAAGTGGTTCCCCCAGCCAGAGTCGTGTCGTGTGCCTTTCGAGCGAGTTTCAGGTGACGCGGCGCGGCGGGCGGGTCAACTCAACAGCAGCAGCAGGAAGAGCGGTTGTGTTGCGGAGTGGAGGAAAGGAAAAAAGGCAAGGGGATTGAGCTGTGGAGCAAAGCTCGGCAGTTACGAAGGGAGGTGGAGGGGAATTGGCGGAGTTGATTGCGCAAGCGGTTTCACGAGGCCACGCACCACGCGGGGGCCAGAGAAAGTGCTAGGAAGAAGCGGCGATTGATTTCCTCGCATTCAGGGCAATGCAGAAATATCTGGGCTGCCCACTGGATTGGTCCAATTGAAATATAGCTGGTACAGTTTCACCGATTCGAGGTATTTCAGTATCGATGTTTTGAGGCTTGAAAATATGGTCCGTTTGGGCTGACCCTTCCTGAACGGGCAGGTGTGGTGTGGACCCAGTCAGCTTGCGATCTCTACGCCCAAAGCAGATTGGCGACTGGTCTGGAAAACTCGCCTGTGGGTGGACGGACACGCCATGGAGTCGTTGACCACCTAGCCAGACCCTCAAACGCAGGTCGGTGGAGAAAGAATTGGACCTGGTCAAAAATACGCGCTGTAGGCAAAGGTGGATGCGGACTTGATGGCGTCGAGCTGAGACTCTGTCCTGTATCAATTTCAACTTCCGTATTTGGCGTGTCCTCAATACGAGTTGGTTCTTCTAAGCTAGAAGTTGCTTAGTACGTGGGAATGAAACGGCAATTTCAAGGACTAATTAATAAGTGTTCAGTGAAATAACAAAAGAGCAGGAGAATACATGCATTCAGTTCGATGAATAGTAAGCATGCTGCCGGGTGGTAGTACATGTACACATCAACATGTACAAACACCCGGCAGCCACAGGAAAAAAAATGCCTACCCCCACCACAGCAGATTCCGCAGTCCAGCGTAGACAGAATGCTCATGAGGGTAAGAAAGGGGGTAAGCAGCGCGAGGAAAGAAAAGTTTACATCACAGCCACAGCAGGAAGTACCGGTACCACATGCAATCACTGCCTGGGCTCATTCAGAACACAAAAAAAGGGCAGAATCAGCAGCAGCAGGTGGCACCATGGCACTGCATACAGTCACATAACCGCATCGGCAGCCATACAGCGAGCATGCCCGGTGCCACCAACAGGCAGAGCCATTTCCATCCTCCAACCACCTCCCACTCCCTGCATTGGGCAGTTCCCAAAACCTGCCTCTTATGCTTCGTCCAACCTCCACACGCCCCCCGTTGCAGGTGCCTTGCTGATCCAAGCCGCTTCAAGAGCCCATTCTACCTCGCTGAAATGCCCTCCACGGTAAGTGTCCATGCTACATGCTCCCTCCATGGTCCCTCCATGCTCCCTTCATGCCAACTCCACCCTCAGCTGCACATCATCCCACTGTCTACACATTGCCATCAGCCACCCTTCAACTGTTGGGCGCTCAGCCCCTCCTTAATCCTCTTCAGGTCACCAGTTCACACAGTAACACCAAAGTTAGTGTGCCATACCGTACCAAAACGTTTTTTTCTTGGGGTGACCGAAGTCTTAATGCTTGCCTCACAGACGAACATACTCACACTCCCCCAAACACATGCACACATGTGCGCACGCACATACCAGTACCTGCAGCACAAGGAGCTGGCATTCCTCCCACACCCACATGCAGACTGCTCACTAGCCACACCCAACAATGTTAGATCCACTGCACACACATGCACAAGTCAAAATGTCAGCTTCACACGACCATTCTCACGACCACTTTCACACAACCATTCCCTCGACACCTCATCCTCTTCCACATCCATGGCTTCGTCCGGCGCTTCTCCACTGCTGCAGCAGCTGCCCTCGAAAAACCCTCTTCTTAACCTCGCCGTCTCCTTAGCATCTCTTCTCCCCGTTTAGCACCTCTCCCCTTCTAGCGCCTGCCCCTGCCGCTGCTGCTACCGCCCCTCTTCCTGCCCAGCTGCCCCGACCACATGAGGTGCGCCTGCTGCTCCATAAACGCCATGGCCCGCTGGCTCTTCTCCCGCCGCTCCTCTGCTGCTGCAGTGGCCTCGTGCGCGCGGGCGGCGGCGAGGAAGTGGTTGTCCTTCCGCAGCTCCCTTGCTGCTCCCCTGGCTTCTCGCTTGATCGCCCGTTGTAGCTTCCTCTGCTCCGCCCTCTCCCTGTTCGGGTCGTAGTCCTTGCCCCGGGCAAAGCTGGGTGAGGAGCGGGAGGGACGGAGGAGAAAGGGAGGAGAGGGGCACAGGAGAGGTAGGGGAGGGGAGATAAATGAGGAGAGCGCCCAACAGTTGCCACTGCAGCAGCGGCGAGGCGGCCTCGTGCGCCCGGGCGGTGGTGAGGAACTGTTGTCCTTCTCGCTGCGTCCCGCGCCTCCGCTTTATCGCCCGCTGCAGCCGGCGCTGCTCCGCCTGCTCCCTATTGGGATCGTAGTCCTTGCCCAGGCAAAGCTGAAGGAGGGAGCCAGTAGTGGGGGGGGGGGGGGGAGGAGGAGCGGGGAGGGGGGGGGGGGGGGGGGAAGGGGAAGGCGAGGGAGGGGGGAGGAGAGGCGAAGGGGAGAGAAAAAGAAGGGAGATTAATGAGGAGAGCACCCCACGTTGCCCACTGCAGCAGCAGCCGCCTCGTGCGCCCAGGTGGCGGCAAAGAAGTGGTTGCCCTTCCGCAGCTCCCTTGCTGCGCCCCGCGCCTCCCGCTTTATCGCCCGCTGCAGCCGGCGCTGCTCCGCCCGCTCCCTGTTCGGGTCGTCGTCCTTGCCCCAGGCAAAGCTGGAGGGGGAGAGGAGCAAGGGAAGGAGGGAGAAAAGGAGGAGGGAGGCCACAAAGGAGCCGTTTTTTAGAATTCTCAAAAGTGACTCCACTGTAGTCCGAGGAGGGAGGCCACAAAGGAGCCGTTTTTTAGAATTCTCAAAAGTGACTCCACTGTAGTTCGAGGAGGGAGGCCACGAAGGAGCCGTTTTTTAGAATTCTCAAAAAGTGACTCCACTATAGTCCGAGGAGGGAGGCCACAAAGGAGCCGTTTTTTAGAATTCTCAAAAGTGACTCCACTGTAGTTCGAGGAGGGAGGCCACGAAGGAGCCGTTTTTTATAATTCTCAAAAGTGACTCCACTGTAGTCCTTGCCCCCGGCAAAGCTGGAGGGGGAGAGGAGCAAGGGAAGGTAGGAGAAAAGGAGGCGGGAGGCAATGACGGGAGGAGGGAGGCAATGGCGGGAGGAGGGAGGCAATGGCGGGAGGAGGGAGGCAATGGCGGGAGGAGGGAGGCAATGGCGGGAGGAGGGAGGCAATGGCGGGAGGAGGGAGGCAATGGCGGGAGGAGGGAGGCAATGGCGGGAGGCGGGAGGCAATGACGGGAGGAAAAGAGGTCACAGTGAACAGCAAGGGGAAGAGTGGAGCCAGCCATGCTCCCCTCAGACCATAAGACACTCAGCAACCCCAAACCAACAGCACTCTATAACACTCCATACGTACTCAGTTTCAAACTTAGGATTGAACTGCTTGGCTGGGACGGCCCGCTTCACCCTCAGCCGCAGCGGCTGCCTGCTCCCCTCCACCTCCGCCACTGCCCCCTCAATATCTTTCACCCACGCTGCCCGCTCCTGCTCTATCTCCTCGGGCAGCTGCCCGGATTCCGCCAGGGCGGCAAGGGTGGGCAGGAAGGGGGAGAAGATCTCGGGGAAGGGCTGCATGGGGCGGTAGAGCAGCGCGAAGGAGCGCAGGGTCTTGAGCACCGCTAGCAGCAGGCTCAGCCTGACAGGTGAACAGCATGGGATAAGGAGAAAGGGGGGGGGTGGGCGGGGGGGTGGGGGGCGGGAGAGAGCAAAGGTGGGCACAAATGAAGAGGACGGTTTTAGGGAAGGGCGGGGGGGGGGGGTGGGCTTCAGGTGTGGGGAGTTGGAGGAACAATGTCAGCACAGGGGTAGAGCAGCCCGTAGGTTGGCAGGATCTGAGCACCGCTAGGGGGATACTCAGCCTATAACGACCCTGGAACCCACCTGAACCCACCCAGCAACCCAGCAACCCAGCCCAAACGACCCAGCAACCCAGCCCAAACGACCCAGCAACCCACCTGAGCCCTGCCGGAACCAACTGAACCCACCTGAAGACGTCGGAACCAAAGTAGGCCTCTGCCACGGTCCCTGCTGCACTGCCTTCCACGCCCACTGGGGCAGGAGGAGCAGCAGGAGGAGCGGAGGGCGACGGGTTAGTAGTGGTAGTAGCGGTGGTGGTAGTAGTGGTGGTAGTGCTAGCGGTGATAAGGTTTGAATGGGCGCTCGAAGGGCCGAGGAAGATCCTGTCAAAATCGAGGGCCTCGGGCTTGTCCTCTAGTGGCTCGCGCTTGCGCTTGCGGCTGTTGTGGCCGTCGCCACAGGGGGTCCAGAGCCACTGCTGCGAGCACACCTGTAGAAGCATGTAGCGGGGCACGCCCTGTAGCAGGGATGGTGGAGGGGCACGTGGGGTGGGTAGAGGGGAGGATGGGTGGAAATGGGGTTTGAATGGGCGCCCCAAGGGCCGAGGAAGATCCGGTCGAAACAAAGGGCTCAGGCTTGTCCTCCCGGCTCCCTCATGCGCTTGCGCTTGCGGCTGTTGTGGCCGTCGCCACAGGGGGTCCAGCCGCTGTTGCGGCTGTTGCGGCTGCTGCGAGCAGACTTGAAAAAGCATGTAGCGGGGCACGCCCTGGGTGGAGGAAGGTAGAGGGGTGGGAGGGAGAAGGGAAGGGAAGACGTTCTAATGAGTCTCCACAAGTTGGCACAGGGCGTCGAGTCCAGAGCCGCTGCTGCGAGCACATCTGCAGCGGCATGTAGCAAGGCGCGCAACGAGGGTCGGAGGGAGAAAATGGTTGACGACTGAAAGGGGAAGATGGAGGAGGTGCAATTTAAGCTGGTTAAAAACACATGTCCAAAAGGGGGCGGGGGAGGGGGGGAAGGGGAAGGGGGGAGGAGAAGGGGGGAAGGGGGGGGGGAGGGGGAGGAGGAAGAGAGAGGGGAGCCGGAGGGGGGGAACGCAGGAGGAAAGGGCATACTTTGCCTGGTCTGCTTGAGCGCAGCCATACCTTGGGCTTGAGTGGTTTGAGCACAGGAGCGACAGCACTCCACAGCAGCGCGTGTAGGAAGTTGAGCGCCTCTGGCACGAAAGGCATGTTTTGAGTCGACTCAAAACGCACTGGGAAGAGGAAAGGCCTTACCTTGGGCTTGAGTGGTTTGAGCGCAGGGGCGACAGCACTCCACAGCAGCGCGTGTAGGAAGTTGAGCGCCTCTGGGACGAACCGACGGCTCTGCGACACCATCTGGGAGGGGTGAGGTGAGGGGACAGAGGGGATGAGAGAGAGAATGCATGACAGGGGGTGTGCATGGTGCGAGAATGGAGAACAGGGGCAGCCCGCCTTGATAAAATCCGCGTGACATGAGACAATTTGGGATGGGTGAGGTGAGGGGACAGAGGGGATGAGAGAGAGAATGCATGACAGGGGGGTGAGCATGGTGCGAGAATGGAGAACAGGGGCAGCGCCTTTTGAGAGGATTCAATGCTACAAAGCATGCAGGCAGGGCGTGGAGCAAGTCGAGGGTTTCTGGCACAAAATGACGACTCTAGGTCACCATCTGGACAGGAGTCAGAGGGGCAAGGAAGGCAGACAAGGGCAGTACGTGATTTTTGAGTCGACTCAAAAATCACCTATGAAGGGCAGACAGGGCAGCAGGAGCGGCAGCGCCACCACCAGTGCCATGGGCCATGGCTACTGATGGGGACTCCGTTTACTTACCCAGAAGGAATGAAGCGACCGACGGCTCTCACGTTTGAGGAGGGGCGCGGAGATAAAGCGCCCGGTGGCCAAGTTCTTGGATCAGTCAGCTCCCTGATCCGCGCCCGGTGGCGTGGATCAGTCAGTCAGTTCCTCTCCTGCTGCCCCGTTCTTGGAGGAGCGCACGCGCACGGGGCAGCAGGAGAGGAACTGCCTGTTTTTGAGAATTCTAAAAAACGCCCCGTTCTTGGAGGAGCGCACGGGGCAGCAGGAGAGGAACTGCCTGTTTTTGAGAATTCTCAAAAACGCCCCGTTCTTGGAGGAGCGCACGCGCACGGGGCACGTCCTGAGAGGAACCGACAGACTGATCCAGCAGCAGTCAGTGACACGAGGTCATGACATGACCACTTGAGGGGGCATCATCATTGAAGAAGAAGAGAGAGAGAGAGAGAGGTTGACGAACGGCTCTCACATTTAGCAGGAGTGCGGAGATGAACAGCCCGGCAGCCACGTCCTTGGTGGAGCGCACAGGGCAGCAGGAGAGGAACTGCCCCAGCAGCAGCGACACGGGCGTCATGACGGGATGGCGGAAGTCGGACGAGGGGAAGATGAGCGCCCAGAGACGCAGGAGTAGGAGCGTGCGGGCAGTAGGCCACGCTGGCTCTGAGAAGCAACAAAGACAAGGGAAATGGGGCGGCAGAGGGGCAAGTTGCACAGGGGTCATGACAGGGTGGCAGAAGTCGGACGAGGGGAAGACGAGCGCCCACAGACGCAGGAGTAGGAGTGTGCGGCAGTAGGCCACGCTGGCTCTGAGGGGAACGCAACACGGGGGATGGACAGAGAAGGGCAATGTAGGGCGCCATGATCAGGTGGTGGCGGAAGTCAGGAGGGGAAGATGAGCGCCCACAGGCACAGGAGGAGCGCGAGCAGCGGGCCACGCTGGCTGTGAGAAGAGGGAAGAGATATGGATGGATCGATAGAAAAGCGACAGGGGTCATGACGGGGTGGCAGAAGTAAGAGGAGGGGAAGATGGGCGCCCACAGCCGCGCAGATCTCCGGACATAATTCCAGCGAGCGCGGTGCTTGAGGACGGTTTGGCAGGTAGGGAAAACAGCTTAAAAGCTCGAAGTCAGAGGAGGGGAGGACGGGGGGCCACAGCCGCACAGATCTCCGGACAGCGGCTGTGGGCGCCCGTCTTAGCAGGTAGGAAAAACAGAGGGGGGGAAGACGGACATAATTCCAGCGAGCGCGGTGCTTGAGAGGACGGTTTAGAAGGTAGTTTCAAAGCTCGAAGTCAGGAGGGGAAGACGGGCGCCCACAGCCGCGCAGATGGCAGCGAGGAGCAGGAAGGAGGCGGAGAGGTCGACCAGCGGCTGAACGAGCACGTGGCTGCTGCCACTGACGGCGCCCTCTGGCTGGAGGCGGACTTTTTACTATATGGGATGCACCAGCGCACCAGTGTGGGGAATTGGGTTGGGAGACAAATGTGCATTCACTCATACCTCCGGTCTTGAGGCGGGTCACCAGGCGTTTCTGCATGCGAGCAAGTCTTTCTCGCGCGCACACCGCAGCGAAGAGCGGGAAGGAGGCGGAGAGCTCGACTCGAGGTTGCACGAGCACGTTGATGTGCGCCGCTGCCACTGGCGGCGCCCTCTGCTCAAGGCGGACAGCTCTACTAGAGGGGTTGCCCCAGCACGTTGATGTGGGGGTTGGGGAAACAATGGGGATTCTTTCGTACCTCCTGTCTTGAGGCGGGTCACCAGGCGTTTCTGCATGCGGGCGAGCCTCTCCCGGGCGCAGACGGCAGCGAAGAGGGGGAAGGAGGCGGAGAGCTCGACCAGCGGCTGCACGAGCACGTTGATGTGCGCCGCTGCCACTGACGGCGCCCTCTGTTGCAGCGCACTCGTCGGCTCCTCCTCCTGCTCCTTCGCACCCTGCTCCGCGCCCTTCTGCACTTTCTTTTCCCCCGCTTGCGGCTTTTCCTGCTGCCTGCTCCCTTGCTGCTGCTGCTGCTGCTGCTCCTGGTGGTGCTGCTGCTTCTGCTTCTTCCCCCGCTGATCCTCCCCCTGCTGCTGATACACGGGAGAGCTATCGCTAGCCAGCGACGCAAAGTACTGCAGGAGCACGTTGTAAAAGATCTGCATCTTGCGCTTGTTGTCGGGGGACAGGTGCGCCGCGTTGCACGCGCGGATGCGCGCGATGGCCACCCCCACCTCTGGTGCTGCGCGCCCCTCTAACAGCTGCTGCAGGTCCTTCAACTGCTGGGGGGCTTCTATCACGTACGGCAACTCGCGCCGACGGAACACCCGCTCTATGCGCTCCATCTCCTCCTCCTCCTCCTCCCCCTCCTCCTCCTCCTCCTCTTCCTCCTCCTCCTCTTCCTCCTCCTCCTCTTCCTCTTCTTCCTCTTCCTCCATCGTCCCTGGGCCCACCACTTTCCCCTGCTGCTGCTGCTGTTGTGTCGACGGTTTCCCCTCCGCCTCCGCTTCCTCGTCCTCCTCATCACTCTCCTCCCCCTCCTCCCTCTCCTCCCCTTCCTCAAGCTCTTCACTCTCCTCCCCTCCTTGCTTAACCGCCCTATCCCCTACCGGCCCCCGCTTAACCTCCCCTCTCTCGCCTCCTGCCTCCTCGTCACTCTGCTCCCACTCCACGTCAGCTAAATTCTCCTCCTTATCCTCCTCTTCCTCGTCTTCCTCACTCCCACTCCCCTCCTCCCCCTCACTCCCACTCTCCTCCTCCTCCTCTCTCTGAGCAAGCACGTCATACACCCACCCCTTCTTCTCCCTCCCGCCCTCCTCATCCTCCTCATCCTCCTCATCAAGCACGAAATTCTCTCCCAAATCGTCCCCAGAGACCTCCCTCTTGGTCTTTTTTCTCTGCCGCTTCTTCCTCCCCCTCCCGCCCTCCTCCTCACTCGACCCCTCCTCCCCCTCCTCCTCATCATCACTGGGCTCCCCGTCCATCCTCCGCTTCCTTGCAGCCTGCGAAACGGGTCAAAAGGGCGAGTGGACAAGGCAAAGAGGGGAGTAGATGATAGTTAACAACTGTGCACTACACTAGCACTCGCAGTCCTCATCATCACTGGGCTCCCCGTCCATCCTCCGCTTCCTTGCAGCCTGCGAAACGGGTCAGAAGGGCGAGTGGACAAGGCAAAGAGGGGAGTAGATGATAGTTAACAACTGTGCACTACACTAGCACTAGCAGTCCTCATCATCACTGGGCTCCCCGTCCATCCTCCGCTTCCTTGCAGCCTGCGAACAAGGCACGGGAAAAGTTGATCGCCATGCAGCACGCAGGCACGCACAGCACACAGGCGTGCTCAGCACAGTGGCAAGCAACTACAGTTACGCACGCACGTCTGGTAAACCGAACACGCGCTGCACACGCGCTAATGGAAACGCGTGCTACACACGCGCCCGCAAAGGCGTTCTATCTCAATCAACCTCACCTCGAGCTTCACCAGCCGCGCCCTCTCCGCCTCTGCCGCCTCCTCTGCCGTCTTGCTGCGCTCCCCCGGCTTGGCGCGGATGTCAAAAATCATCTCCCGCGCCAGCACGTCGTACTGCTTGTCGTCCATCTCCTGCAGTACGCAGTGGGGTGAAAGAGAGGTGCAGGGAGGGGGCAAGCGGGGGAAGAGGGAGGCGTAACCAAGCGAGGCTTTAGTCGGATGTCCAACACCGTCTCCCGCGCCAGCACGTCGTACTGCTTGTCGTCCAGCTCCTGCAGTACCAGCAGCAACAAGAGGAGCGGAGGGCGAACGAACACGGAAAGAGAGGGGAGAGGACATGGGAGAAACGACGGGACGAAGAAGGAGAATGGGGTAGAGGGTGTAAGGACCAAGAACGGAAGGTGTCGACTTTTGAGGCGCCTCAAAATGTAGTTTGAGTCGACTCAAAAATCACCTACGGGACGCAGGAGGGTGGGGTAGAGGGTGTAAGGACCAAGAACGGAAGGGATACGAGAAGCTAGAGATGTGGCAGCAGAGGTGTTTTCAATCGACTCAAAACACGGGAGAAACGAAAGGCGACACGGAAGGAGTGTCGGGGAGAGGGTGCAAGGTCACAGAACGGAGGGGACAAGAGAAGCTAGAGATGTGGCTGGCAGCGCAATAGCAGCAACGTAGCCTGCTGGATGCAAGGCAGTTCCTGTGGCCAAGGCAGCGAAGCTAGCAACACGACAGCCGCCGCCCCCGCCGCCGCAGCAGCAGCAGCATGGAATCAACTCAAAAGCAGACTCATTACACGTGGTTTTTTATATTGATAACGTACTTGTTGCTTGGTAGATTGGGAAGAGTTCACTGAAAATACAGCCTGTGGCAACAGCAGCGAAGCTAGCAATCGCAACACGACAACCGCAGCAGCAGCAGCAGCAGCATTGCTCGCAAGCAGTGACAACAGCTGGCAGAACGCACGACAGACGCACCTCTTCAGCCACATCAGCGGCCAGGAGCGAACCACCAGCAGCCGGCACCTTCGCAGCAGCAGCAGCAGCAGCAGCAGCAGGCCCAGCTCCAGACACTCCTCCCCCTCCCTCCGCTCCCCCTCCCGCCTTCTCCTTGCCCTTGGCGTCCTTGCCGCCCTTGTCGCCCTTTGCGCCCTTGGTCGCGCGTGTGAGTGCGAGCAGCGCGTCGGACTGCGCTATGTGGCGGAAGTCCTCGTCCAGCTTCTCCCTCAGCTGCTCGTCCTCCTCCTTCTCCGCCTGCCGCCTCGCCTTGAACAGCTTGCTCTTCGCCATCACCTCCTCCATCACCTCGCGCTTCGTCTTCTGCCGTTCTTCTCCCCCTCCCCCTCCTCCTCCGCCCCAGTATCGCCCTGCAAAACACCAGGAAACGAAGGGCATTTGGTTGGATACATGAGACAGAGTATTCCTCCTCCTCCTCCTCCGCCTGCCGCCTCGCCTTGAACAGCTTGCTCTTCGCCATCATGCATCAAGGGGACACGTCAAAGAACCACATCAAAGAACCACGTCAAAGAACCACATCAAAGAACCACATCAAAGAACCACGTCAAAGAACCACATCAAAGAACCACGTCAAAGAACCACATCAAAGAACCACATTACAGAGACACGTCAAAGAGACACGTCAGCGAAAGAAACGCGTCCAGAGACACGTCGAGAGATACAAGCAGGCACAGCGAGGGAGGTACGGAGGCAGGTGAAGCTCACCTCTGCATCCGACGCCGACTTGGCCTTGGGAATGAAGCCACCGCCGAAGTGGTAGTCGCGCACAAGCTGATCGCCCACTGCACAGAGAGAGAGGGGGGAAGAGGGGGGGAGAGGGAGAGCGAGAGGGGAAGAGACGAAAGAGACGGACACAGGGGAGAGACGGATGAGACGGGTAAGGAGGCGGGTGAAGCTCACATCTGCATCTGATGCCGACTTGGCCTTGGGAATGAAACCACCGCCAAAATGGTAGTCGCGCACCAGCTGGTCGCCCACTGCCCAGCTGGTCGCGCACAAGGGCGCGGGGGAAGGCACAAGGGCGCGGGGGAAGGCACAAGGGTGCGGGGGAAGGCACAAGGGCGCGGGGGAAGGCACAAGGGCGCGGGGGAAGGCACAAGAGCGCGGGGGAAGGCACAAGGGCGCGGGGGAAGGCACGGGCACAGGAGAGAGACGGATGAGTCATACACGCGCACGCCACCAACGCGAAGCGGTAGTAGTCGCGCACAATCCGATCGCCCACTGCAGAGAGAGAGAAAGAGAGAGGGGGGGGGGGGGGGAGACACATGCACAAGAGGAAGGCGTGCAAGGAAAGGAAAGGGAAGGGTGGGGAGCGAGGGGCTGGGACGGACGGAGAGGAGAGCTCTCGCGGAAATGATAAGGCGCGCACAGTCTGATCGCCGGGGGAAACGGAACGGAAAGATCCCGGTGACTTTTGGGTCGACTCAAACGGAATGGAAAGTTCCCACAGCACACCGATGAGCCTGCAGTATCCGGCCGCCCACAGCACACACGCGCGTTGGACGACGGCAGGCGCCACAAGGGACGGACGGATGAGGACGCCGGGGGAGTAAGGGAAGGGGAGCGGGAGAGGGGAGGGGGGAGGGGGGGGGGGGGGGAGTGGGAGGACAGGGGGAGGCCGCCCAAATAGGTGAAGGGGACCGCAGGGGGGAGTGAGTGTGCGACAAGGCAATCGGCCACAGCGGGGTGACACGAACAGTCATATCTGGACAGACGACACTCCTAGCGGCTTCCGTCCAGCAGCCGTGTAGCCGCTGGGCGGCGAAATGAGGCGACCATCATCCCACTCACGCGCTCCATCGTCGTCGTCGTCGTCCTCCCCGAAGCCAGACACGTCCGAGTCGTCGAAATCATCTATGTCCCGCCCGCCGTGCGTCAGCCGGTAGCCGCCGCCCTCACTTCCCCCAGCTCGTCCGCCGCTGCCCCCCCAGCTCCGCCGTCGCTCCCCTCCTCGTCGTCCCTCGCCGTCGTCGTCATCCCCGAGGGCGAAACGGTTCTTGCGACTCAGCTGGGCCTGCGGTAAATGGGAAAACGGAGGAGAAAGATCTAGTCCTCAAGATAAAAAACTCAAGATAAGGCGCATCCTAAACGAGAGCAAGACGGAACGAGGCATGGGAAGAAGTTACAACAAGGCCCTACACCAGATAAGGCGCTTCCTAAAGAAAAGCGTGAGCGCAATGACGACCAAGTCATGCCATATCGTACCATGCGCTCTTTCTGGAATCGCACGATGGCCTTCTCGCCCTCGGGGATGGACTCGTCTCCCTCGCCGAACCTCCGATCCAGAAACAGGTTCGCATTCCCGCGCTGCTGAAACTCCTGCAGCAGCGTCGCCTTCCTCTGATGGGGTGGGTCGAGATGGGCGGGCGGGCAGGGGGAGGGGGGAGGGGGGGCGGGGGAGGGGGGGAGGGGGGAGGGAGGGCGGGGAAGGGGGTGTGGTGGGGGACAAACGGGGACGATGACAGAGGTCAGGTTTTCAAATGCTGCACGACTGGAACTCCTGCAGCCTTCTTGGGGTTGGGGTCACCGGGGGGGAAGGCGGGGGGAGAGGGGAAAGACGAGGGAACAAACGGGGACGGTTAAACGGTCAGGAATTTTTTAGTCGACTCAAAAATCGACTCATTAAAACGGTCAGGAATTTCAAGCGCTTTGAGACTGGAACTCGTGCAGCGGCGTCGCCTTCCTCTAACGGTCGGGTTCAGGATGTGAAAGGCGGCGGAAAAGGCACGGCTAATTGTATTTCGAGTCGACTCAAAATACAACCGGGCTCACGATGTGAACGGGAACGGAAAAGGCACGGCTAATTACGGCGTTCGTATAGTGTGGACGGCGGATCCAGTCGAAGATTGGACGGGAGAAAGATCACGGGAAGGGAGAGGGTGCTGAAGCGACAATTAGACGGAAAGAAAGAGCCAAGGAGAGGGACGGATGTTAGTTTTGAGGCGCCTCAAAACTGGACGAGACAAGATCACGATAAGGGAGAGGGTGTTGAAGTGACGCTAAGACGGAAAGAAAGAGCCAACGAGAGGTGGCTAACGAGTCGACTCAAGGGCCAAGGAAAGGTGACTTTTGAGTCGACTCAAAAGTCATCACGGGAAGGGAGAGGGTGGTGAAGCGACGATTAGACGGAAAGAAACCAAGAAGAGGGACGGAGGAGGCGGAAGCCGGAAGGCGAGAGAGAGCGAGAGAGGTAAGCGGGAGTCACGGAGATATTAATTTAAACGAGCTACGAACAGCCGTTTGAAGGACTCAAAGGATCATCCACAAACACGATATAATCAATTTCCTTCCTGAGGAACACTATTCGTGACGCAGAACATCAATAACGCGACGAGACATGAACGGGAAGGAAGAAAGGGGTGTCTCGGAACAAAAGGAAGCAAAAGTCCGCACGACAGGATTACCACAAAGCGCGAGGAACGAGCAAAGTCTGCACGAGCCTTTCCCAAACTGTCTCTTAAACTCCCTAAGGCTAAGTCTAACCTTCTCCACCGCAGCGCTCCGGGCCTTGCCGATGGACTTGGCGCGAACATCGCCCTTGACCTTCCGTCCCAGGATGTCGAACTTGCGCCGGTTCCACAGCTGCTCGAACACGTTCGCCAGCCGACCGGACACTCCCACAGGCTTGCCGCTCCTAGACAGGCCGGCAGAGCTGCTGGGGACCGACCCTCCGCGCCAGCACTCCGGTTCTTAGCCATCCTCCCCGTTTCTGTTCCTGTTCGAAGGAACTAAACTGAACTAAGCCTCGGGAATGAGACGCTAGTTCTGAAGGGACTGTGCTACCCTCGCGACTCTAATCTCAGGGCTGAGCCGACGCCCTAAAAAGGCTCGAGCTAAAGCCATGGTGTCATATCGGGGCGAGCGCTAAGCAAGCCCAATACGGGAGAATGTCGGAAGGCAGCAGCTACACGTAACCTCTAAAACGGACAAGAGAAATTTCTCTTGAAAATACAAATGGATCGTTCACTTTCAAGCTGCCTTGCAAAGTTTGTCAGTAATCCAGTTGAAGCTGTTGGTTGGTTGCCTCAGGTGAGCCGAGCCGAGGTGGTGGTGTGGTTGCTCCTCCTCTCCTCTCCTTTCGTGTGGGCCAAGCGGCCAACAGTGAGAACTACGCCGACAGGCCCAATGAATCTGGGTTTGCCTTGGGGTTGGGGGAGGGAGAAGCTAGGGTTTCGCTTGGGCCTCTCTCCTCTCTCCTCTCCCCTCCCCTCTCCTCTCCTCTCCTCACTCTCCAGTTCCAACTCGCTCTGCTCGCCTGGGTTCCGAATTTCTCCGTTCCCTTCCGTCCTGTCCCGTCTGTTTCTTGACTTTCCCATCCATTCAGCTGACATTCAACCGGCTGCCGTCAGACCTCACGCATCCATCCATCCATCCCCTCCCCAACCCACCAACCAGTTTTCTTGGCAGCCTGCAGCGAGCACGGAAGATTTCGCCACAGGCTGAGCAGCACCCGGGCGAAAGCATCGCAAACACGGGGCTGCTGTCGTCAGTGCTGCCCGCGAGTCGCACGGTCACGCGCGAGCCGGAAGTTATTGGACGTTCGCAAATGGATGCACCCGATTGGGCCTTGCATAAACGATGCGAACCATCCCATGGTTGGTGCAGCAGTGTCAAGGCAAACCACAGCGGTCAAGCATTAACGTTGAAAATAATCAATACTACTTCCAGACTCATGTAGTAAAATTTCATACATGAGGGAGTATTCCAATCCGCTCATCTCTCAACTTCATTCAAAAAGAGATTGGCGAAGCCACCATCCAATACTCGAGAGACCCTCCCAGCGATGGTGACAACAGACATTTTTTTAAACAAGCTATTGAAAATAAGAAAAAGATTGGCAACTCTATACTAAACATGCAAGCAAACAAAAACAATGAGCTCTTCTAGGCTACACAGCTTTGCACCCAGCTACAGGTCTCATGAGACTCCAGCTCACTCAGCTCAAGGGGGATAAATTCATGCCATGTGCTCTCCCTTATGCTGCTGCTCGCCGTACTTGCTCCCTTCCCCTCCTCTTTCTCCTGCTCCAGCTCGTGTGACTCCAGCTCACTCACCTCTGGTGGAATGAATTCACGCCATGTGCTCTACCCGCTGCTACTGCTCTCCCTCCTTGCGCCCCTCCCCCTCCTCTTTCTCCTGCTCCATCTCATGGGACTCCAGCTCGCTCAGCTCTGGGGGGATGAACTTCCCAAACGACACCCCTGCCTTGGGGACCTTCTTCCGCCTTCGCCTCCCCACCTTGTGCTGCTGGCAAGGGGCATTGATTGGGGCACCAGCGGCACTGAGTTCCTCCCCTGCTGTCCCTGAGCTGGCCGTTTCAAGTGAGCCTTCCTCTGAGAGATCCCCTGAAAGTTCATCTGACCCTTCCCATGACCCTTCCTCTGACCCCACTTCCTCCCACTCCCCATCCTCTGAGCCCTCTTCTTCCTCCTCCATGTCACCCTCCTCTGCCACTTCCTCCTCCCTAAACCCAGACTCTTCAGCCACTGTCTTGCCACTTGCAGTTCCTTCTTCCTTCACCTCTCCCTCTTCCTCTTCCTTCTCTTCCTCCTGCTCACCCTCCTCTCCACCCACCTCCTCCTCTCCCTCACTCTCTTCCTCACCTCCCCCCTCACTCACATCAGACAATTCCTCCTCAACCTCCTCGTACTCCCCATCACTCCCCAAGCTGACGTCATCCCCATACTCACTCCCTTCCAGCCCTCATCCACCACTCACATCATCACCTTCCACACTCCCCTCCTCACCCCCCTCATCCTCGTTATTGCATTCCTCGTTTTCCTCCGATGGTCTCATTATGTGGGACCCACTATCCGAACCATCTTCTACATCCTCACCCTCACCTCCCTCCTCACCCTCTCCCTTCCACTTCCGCACCCCCTGCCCTTGCTCCTCATCTTCTGTCATCTCCTCTCCCCCCACTCACCTCTCCATCCTCACTCCCCTCACTCTTCTCAAATCCCTCACTTCCCTCCCTCTCCTCTTCTCCCTCCCTTCCCTCCCTCTCCTCTTCTCCCTCACTTCTCCCCCCTCCGCCCCATCATCAAGGTAGGCATCATCATTCAACAGCTGCTCTACCTCATCCTCAGATAGTATCTCCTCCACCTCCTCCCCTTCGTCCACCCCTTCCTCCTCTTCACTTCCAATATGTCATGCTCCTCTCCCTCCTCCCCCTCTGCGTCCTCCTCATCCTCCCCTCCCACTCCGCCATCCTCCTCGTCTGATTCCTCCACGATTTCATATGCTTCCGCTTCCCCATCTTCCTCATCTTCCTCACACCCCTCCCTTTCCTCCCATTATCACCCTCATCTCTTGGCGCTGGCTGACTGCTCCTCATAGCCCTCCTCCCCCTCACTCACTTCCTCTTGCTCCCCGCTTTCCTCCCCACCTCCTCCCTCTCCTCCTCCCCCCCTCCCCCTCCTCGTCTTCATACACCATCTCAACGATCTCCCTCCCCTTCTTCAAGATCCTCCTCGTTCACATACTCGTAATCACTCCTTCCTCCTCTTCCTCCTCTTGCTCCACTCGCTCCACTTCTTCCTCCCTTCCTCGAGATCCTCCTCGTTCACATACTCGTAAATCACTCCTTCCTCCTCTTCCTCCTCTTGCTCCACTCGCTCCACTTCTTCCTCCCCTTCCTCGAGATCCTCCTCCATTCACATACTCGTAATCACCTCTTCTTCCTCTTCCTGCACCTCCCCTCCACTTCCTCCTCCTCTTCCACCTCCTCTTCCACCTCTTCCTGTGCTGCTTCTGTTTCCTCATCCTCTTCTGCATCCTCCTCTCCCTCTGCTGCTACCTCTCCCTCCTCTGCCATTCCCTCTTCCTCCACCTCCCCCTCACTCACACACTCATACCCCACTCCACCTCCTCTTCCTCCACTTCCCCTTCCACTCCTCTCCATCAACACACTCCTGCTCCTCCACCTCCACCTCGCCCTCCTCCTCCCTCATGCTCCTCACACACCACCTCCACCTCCTTGTCCGCCATCTCCACCTCCTCTTCTGCCACCTCCACCTCCTCTTCCGCCACCTCAGCTCCCTCCTGCTCCATTTCCACCTCCACCTCCTCTCCCTCCTGCTCCTCACCCTTCACCTCCGCCTTCTCCACCTCTTCCTCTCTTTTCCCCTCAGCCCCTCCTGCTGCTCCTCTCCACACTCTCTTCTTCTGCGCTCTCCTCCACACTCTCTTCCCTCTCCTCTCCCACCATCTCTGCACCATCCACTGTCTCTCTGGCCTCGTCTCGCTCCTCTCTCTCCTCCCCTTCCTCTCCACTTGCCTGCATTCCCTGCTCTGCAGCAGCAGCATCAGCATCAGCGTCATCCACACTCTCTCCTCCTCCTGCTCTCCGTGCTCCCTCTCTGCCTCTTCTTCCTCTCGCACTTCCTCTTCCTTCCCACTCGCCTCCTCCACCTCTCATTACCCCTCTTCCCCACCCGATTTTCCTCCTCCCTCTCCCCACTCTCCTCATTTCCCTCCTCTCCCCCTGCTCCACAGCTGACAGCCACTGTCAGTCCGTCGCCTTCTTCAGGGCCTTCTGCCACATCAGCACCTGCCACATCAGCACCTTCTGCCACATCCGTACCTTCTGCCACATCAGCATCATCAGCCACGACAGCCCCGTCTGCCACATCAGCATCATCAGCCACGACAGCACCGTCTGCCACGTCAACACTGTCAGCATCATCTGCCAGGTCAGCACTCCCTACCACATCTACAGCCTCATTGATTCTCTCCCCAAATTGGGCCTCTCCTCCCATCCCACTCCCCTCATCGGTGCAGCATTCACCCTCACTCTCCCCCACACTCTCCTCCTCACTCTCCCCCACACTCTCCTCCTCACTCTCCCCCACACTCTCCTCCTCACTCTCCCCACACTCTCCTCCTCACTCTCCCCCACAATCTCCTCCTCACTCTCCTCCTCACTCTCCCCCACACTCTCCTCCACCTCCTCACTCTCACACAGTATCCTGCTCTCGTCCTCATTCCCACCCATGGCCTCACCCTCTACCTCGTCCCTCTCACACTCCTCCCTCACTCCCTCTCCCACACTCTCTACCCCCCAGCTCCTCCCCTCTCCTTCGTTTCCCCCCACCGCCTGCTGCCTCTGCCCCTATCCTCTCCTCCCCATCCTCCCTTTCCTCCCCTTCCTCTTCCCCTCCGCCCTCCGATTCCTCCTCCAGCTCACCCCCTGAACGGCAAGTGCTTCTCCTGTGCCCCCGCCTTCCTCCTCTCCTTCCCTACTCTCTTCCTCTGGTCTCCCCCTTCGTCTGCCTCTATTCTTCGTCTGCTTCTGCTCCTTCTGAGTCGGCGTCAGACACACCGGCGTCAGCTCATGGTCTCACCAGCATCACACCCCTCCTCGGTGTCAATTCCCTCCTCCCCGTTGCCAGTTTCAGCACCAGCTCTTCTCCCCTCTTCCCTCTCCTCACTCCCCTCGCTGCTCCCCTCCTCTCATCCTCATTCTCCTCCTCACTCTTCACGCTGCTGTCCACTTCCCTCTCACTCCCACACTCACTCCCTTCGCCCTCCTCTCTCTCACCCTCACTCTCACTGTCGCTCCTCACACTCACATCGTCTCCTACCTCACTCCCTGACCCAATATCGCTCCCACACTCACTCCCACTCTCGCTCCCACACACACTCCCACTTTCGCTCCTAGCCTCACTGCCACACTCACTCTCCCTCTCACTCTCACTTTCCCTATCACTCACACTTCCCCTCTCACTTCCACTCTCGCTTCCCCTCTCACTTCCACTCACACTCACCCTATCACTCTCCCTATCACTCTCTCTCTCGCTCTCATACTCACTCCCATTGTCGCTGGCCCCTCCACTTCCGCCCTCGTACTCTCTCTCCTCGTCTCCATCTGTTTGCCCAGCATCCCCTCCTCCTCCCTCTCCTCCTCCCCCTCCTCGTCCCTCTCCTCCTCCCCTCCTCCCTCTCCGCCTCACTCTCCTCCACCTCCTCTACTATCTCCACCACCTCCATTCCCTCCTCCAGCTCCTCCCCTTCCTCTAACTCAATCACCTCCACCTCCTCCCCTTCTTCCGTTTCCATCACCACCACCCCTCTCTCCTCCCTTTCCTCCTCCTCCCTTTCCTCCTCCTCCCTTTCCTCCTCCTCACTCACCTCGTCCCTCTCATCATCGCTGCGGGCCATCACCACCAGCGGCGGCAGAGCCAGCATCCACGCCTCCATCTCAGGGTCACACACACTCACTGGTGCCCCTGCTGCTGCTGCTGCTGCCACTGCTGCTCCTGTTCCTCCTGCCCCTGCTGCTGCCGATTCCCTTCCTGCCCCTCCTGCTGCTTGCCGCTGACTCCCTCCCCCCCTCCTCTTCCCCCAATGCCCCCTTTCATCAGCTCTCTCCTCACTCCCTCCACCAGCATTTGAGCCTCCATCCACTCTTGAAGCTCAAGCATCTCATTCACCTCTTCCTCCCCCTCCTCCTCTCCCCCATACTCCCCTTCGTCCCAAAACGCCTTCCGCCCTCCCTCTCTCCCCACACCGTTTTCCGCCTCTTCCTCCTCTTCCTCCCCTTCCCCTTCCCCTTCCCCATAACCTCCTTCCGCGCCTCTCTCCCCCTCCCCTTCAGCCTGACTCTTCTCCTCCCCCTTTCCAATCCCCAAGGCTGCGATCTTAGCTGCAGCAGCGGCAGCAATGGCCGCCGCAGCCGCTGCTTTAGCCGCCGACTTGGGCGCCTTACCCTTGTTTTCAGTGGTCAACGAATCAACAGCACTGGCACCAGCACCAGCACCAGCACCAGCAACAGCAACAGCAGCTGGATCAACAAAATCAGCAGACGCAGGAAGAGCAGGAAGGGCAAGAGCAGCAGGAGCAGCTGTGGCAGTAGCAGCAACAAGAACAGGAGTAGCTGGAGTGGACAATCCATTAGGAGGAGCAGCAGCAGCAAGTAGAACCTCCCCATCCATAGCTGCCTCCAAACCGCCCAAACCTGCTGCTACTGCCGTCGTGCCCTGAGACGCTTCAAACCCGCCCAAACCTCCTCCTATTACCGCAATAGAAGCAGCCCCAGCCCCAGTCGCGGTGGTGGTGGTGCCAAGGCTGTTGCTGCTGATTCTGCTGCTGCTCTGACCGCGTGACGTGGAAGATAAGGCGGCTGACGTGGCTGCTGACGTGGGAGCCCAGCAGGACGGGCTCGCTTCATCGAACGTCACAGCCCCAGCATCATCCAGACTCAATAACGCGTATCCTTTTCCACCGCCACCGCTACTGCCGCCGCCGCCGCCGCCACCGCTGCTGCTGCTGCTGCCGCTACTGCCGAACCCAATCATTTGGCTCAGACGGCTAGTGAAGCTCAGGCTGCCCGTACTGCCAACTGTAGCAGCGGATGTAGCCGCGGATGTAGCCGCGGATGTAGCAGGCGCATCCGCAGCAGCTGACTCGGCCTTGCTGTGCGAATCAGCTGTAACAGCAGCTGCTGTAGCCGCGGCTGTAGCCGCAGAGCCTCCATTCTGAGGAGCACCGTTCGTTTCAGCCAGCTTGCTCAGAGCTCTGCTCAGAGCAGCGCCGTTCGGGTCGTTGATAGAACGCTCGCTATAGTCACCTCCCACTTCTCGGCGCGCCCCGTGCTTGGTGTCCAGCAGATAGAGCGGCTCGTCGAACTCGTTATTGTCATCCTCGTTAATGTTCTCACCGTCATTCTCCTCCCCTTTCCCCTCCCCCTTCATCTGCGAGCCATATATGTCCTCCTTTCCCGCATCGTAGCCGTCGATTGACCGGTTGGAGCCGCCTGATGACGTGGCAGTGAAGTAAGATGACGTGGAGTGGAACTCTGGCGCAGTGAATACCTGTGCCGACGCGAGAGATAGCGTGGGCGGCAGCGACACGGGTTTGGGTGGCGGCGTTGTCGTTTCTGCGCGCGTCCATGAGAAGAGACTCCCGAGAAACGAGCTACCGCCACTGGCGGCGGCTGTTGCGGCGCCATTTGTGGCGGAAGACGCGGCGCCAGCTGCGGTGGTCACGCTTGCCTCGCTCGCCGCTGCCTCTTCCTTTCTCGTCGCTTCGGAATCTTGCGCGAAATCGTCAGAGGCCATAAGGAGTGATGCATGAGGCAGAGAAGGAGCAACCCGCCGTCAAACGCGGCGCGACTTGCGGAGGAGTGAGGGAAGGCGGAATGCGCAGATGAAGCATCCGATGCTATAGTCGCATCTGCCACGTCGGATTGTGCTGACGTGGCTGTCGGCGGGAAGGGTTCAACAGCAGCGGCCGCGGAACCGCGAGGCAGAGGCGGAAGGGTTGCGTGGGGAGGAGGCGGAAGGGCAGCGCGCGCGTTGCCTTCGGTCGCAGAGCGAGATGCAGCAGAAAGCGGGAGAAGGGGTGCGTCGTCGGAATCGGCAGCGTCAGCAGGAGCGGAAAGCGCGGAGAACGAGGAGAAGGAGGTGGTGGAGGTGAAAGAAGGGGAGGAAGAAGAAATAGAGGAAGAGGAAGAGGAGTGAAGAGCGGCGGTGGTGAGGAAGCAGCTGAACGAGGGCTGGAAGGACGGATGCCGAGCGGCGAATGCGGTGGGCGAATAGAGCACGATGGGCGTGGACGGTTCCGAAGGGGGCGCGGACGAAACGCCCGCCATAGTACTAACGGATGTGCCACTAGCAAATGTGCTAACAGCGAGCGGAACGGTCTGCGGGGTGATAGCAACGGGGGCTGGCGCGGGCGGAGTGGGGAGCTTTGGAACGGGCTGCGCGGGTGGCGCGGGTGGCGCGGACAGCGCGGGCGGC